TGACGAAGTTCAAACAGGCGAGACTTCAAACTGGAAGATCAGCCGTTGGACGCGGTCGGCCATCGGAATTAAACACCGTTGACGACAAACGCGCGTTTTGCACTTTTCGGCCCGCGTGGGACCACCGCGCCACTTTTCAATCGAAACGCGACAGCGCGCAGACGCCATGCCAACTTCGACGCGGCGTCCACGGAGGGCGCCCTTTTTTTCGAGCGTGGATTAGAAAAGCCGTTGTGATTCGCGAGAGCAAGTATAAAGTAAAGTCAGCTCAAAATACTAGTAGCACATAAAAGATTCACAAAAGGCCAGGACTTCGCTCAAGAAGATGCTTATTCAGGGCGCAACGAAAATGGCCCTAATAACTGGAAAACGTGCAGGATACTTTTGGACTTCACAAAAACAACTATCATATCGGCATGATTGATTACGCAAAAACATCAAAGTGGTACAAGAGCAATATTCTTCTATTTGCTCACGCAAACAGCAGTGCGTGAACGCATCTTAGGAAGCATATTACAGCTGCGGGGGCGGGGGTGCTGCAAAAAAATCTCACTTTTCTTTCTTGATACGATTCGAGCCGCGTTTATAAGTCACGACTTTCATCCAAATCCTGATCGGACCAACCTCTACCACCATTATTAATGTTCATGTTAAATAACCCATATTAAAGTTTCATGTCTGCACAATACTATTCATGATTACTCCGCCTACAGCGTTCTGGCAGCGAGCGCCGTCGAGAGATTCTAGCCCACAGCAACCGGTTGGTTCTGCTGTACGTGGCTTTAGTCCGACGATAGTTGACTCGCGAGCCACTAATGGACACCGTTTCGTTGAGCTCTTCTGAACCAGTATTGCGAGGGTTTACATCAAGGGCGGACATACTTGAATATTTCATCTATCTCCAACCGATACCTAAGCCCCTTCCTTTCCTAAGTAGGCAACGAGTTTTTCCAACTTCCTTTGATTCTACTGCTGGTGCCCGCACCCAAACCTTGCCACGTACAAAGTTTATCCAAGAGGTATGGGCGACGACATGTAGGAGCCATATTCTTCTCGAGAGTGCTCGATGACCGCCAGCCGCTCACTTCAGCTCCGGGTATCTTACAAAAATATCGGTTTCCCATTTCTAGTACTCGCGGTCCATAACATGCAACTCGCGCCTCGGCGACTACGGTGAGATGATGTCCTAGACCTGTAGCGACAGTTTGTCGCGAGCGCTGCTCGATGTTGGAGGTATTCCAGATCGAATGGTCTCTATGGTAAGCATCCTCGGGTGATCTCCATTACTAGAAGTATCCTGCAGCTGTTTGGAGCGTGACATGAATTCGAAAGGTTCTTCTCCAGTTCAGGTCCCGCTCTCTGTGCGTATTAGGAGCATGAACACCTACATATTTTTGGTGTACTGAAGGTGACTGACGGCTGCGAGCGCCCAACTCCTGCTCATCGAACTTCTTGGTATCTTCCGCCCTCGGGTACTTGTATCCACGCTCCTCTGCTCTAGCGGGGCTTGCCGAAACACTTTGCTGATATGTTCTTCGGTCGAAATGTCTTTTTTGCCCCCCCCCCCGTACAAGGAGTTAATAGGGAAAGTGCTACTGAATTGACTTCAAAATGGGACTTTGCGTCGAGTCGTTGCTGCAACAGTATGCAGGAGGAATGTTCCGGCTCAGCCCCTTCCTACAAAACACGAAGCCTAGAAGGAAGTACGGAGCGTTCCAAGAAACTATGTGGGAAGGCATGTTTCCGCGATGCTACCCCACAATTTCGCACATAGCAGCGCGACTGCAATAGCTATGAAGCGCAAACTAGGCGAGGTCATCCTCGGCTGCCAAAGATTTTTTGGGTACCACATGTTTCACAAGAAATACAGCGTCGTGCCTTCTATAAGAAAGTGAACCCTCATCACATTTTTCATATGGTTTATTTTGCCTGTATTTGTTCATAGCTGACAGTAAATGATTGAAGACAAATCAATCAGGCGAAGGGTATACTATCCCAAAGAGAGTACTTTGCTAAGCTACCGTGAGTTCTAAAACTATTTCATGGACCACGAGTTGTGCGAGTACTCTGAGCATTGAAACTATAGTAAGAATATGGCGAAAGTAAACAAAAAACCATGCACTGCCCGTGGAAAGATATGGATTTGCTTTGATCGTGAGTCGTATACTATGCACGCGGTCCCACATGGCCTACAACGCCGTTGCACTCTCAATGTTGTCTCACGGCGGTCGTCAATGTGTTAAAGACGACGAGTGAAGGCACAGATATTAGGTCATCCCATTCAAACGCTGGCCGCTACATATAGAGAAATGGCAGAAAAGCAAAGGGATAGAGCAGCGGGCTACTATACCATTTGAAAGCTAGTACCTTAATCTGTGTGTCTGTGAAATTTGGCGAACCTAGCCACAGAAGAAGTTTCCTAGAAATTGAAAAGAAAGCCGTGATGGTAAAAATCGGCACAGTCTTTTCAATAATCAGACGTCATAAGAGGAAAGTGCGCCTGCCTCAAATTTGACCTGCGCCGGACCATAGTTGTGTGTAAGGGTGTTCTCAAAACACACGCTGGAAGATTTGGTTCAGGAGCCCGCTACAAGAAAGAAAGGAAAAAAATTTGTTGTCGTGGATGTCCCATAATATTCAGTCCTGCACAAGAAAAACGGTTGGATGAAGTCAGGCACTGAATATCTGATCACAGAGCCTGGACCTTTGTCGGGTTCCCGCGAGACTGATATTCCCGCTGCAAGTACTGTACTGTTATGACCGGAAAAACTGGACAGGATGGTCAAGCGGGTGTGCGCATGGGTAGCCCAATTTCTTGTATAGAAGACGAACGCAGTACCGAATTCTATATCTCTAGCGAGTAATATTCTCAGCATGAGATGTCACTCACAACTGTGAAAACACCCAGACCTTAGATGAAATATGGGTGGTCTCGGACCTCGAGCCGAAACCCACAATCGTCAGTTTTGTATGAATGCAGATGAGAAGCGCCCGAGTTCTACCATGAAGAGTACGTGCGGCGCAAGTGGATGATCATCATAGCAAAAGGATTCCCACACGGTGGCTTTCAAGCGGCTCCTATACAGAGGACAAATCCGTCAACTGTTAGGTGCATATTGGCCTGCGTTCCTCGGCATTCAGATCGACAAATGGATGCTACACACAAACTACAAGAAGGCCACCGTTGCTCGTCATAGTACCAGACCCCGAGTAACTGTAGTTAGATCCAGTGCTGCGGACACAAACAATACTGAGACCTGGGTTCAATTCGCCCCATTCGCCCGTCATAAAAGCCATTGCGATTACAACTGTTTCTTTTCAGATTGAGAGTACTCTCTGACGGCAGACGCTACAATGTTTTGTCATTTTGCAGAAATGGCAATAACAGCAATTTACCCACACTTGTTGAAAAATCGAAGGTACAGAGTCCAAAGGCCACTCGGGGCACTCGGACGCGGGTCATTGGTGAAGGAGGCGATTTATCGAGAACCGGACATGGCGACTTTTCTATCTATTCTCCTCTTTGTTTTATTCAAATAAAACCGGCGGCACGTTTGAATGGGATGACCTAATAGAAGCCAACCCAAGAGCATCCACAAGGGGGATTGCTGGAGCTGAGAGTTGACTTTGGAACTGTAGCAAGTAATTCGAAGGAAATTGGGTAGGTAAAAAAACTTGACAAGTGGATCCCGCATGAGTTGACAGGGCACCAGCAATCTCGTCGTCTCAAAGTCTGTTCGTCTCATCTTTTGCGGAACAAAACGATCCTTTTCTGCAACGCATTGTGACATGTGACGAAAAATGGATTCGGTACCAATAGACGACGGTCAGGACAGTGGTTGGATCACGACGAAGCTCCTAAACATTTTCCAAAGCCGGAGTTGCACCAAAAAAAGGTCATCGTAACTGTTTGGTGGTCCAGAGCCGGTTCGATCCATCACAGCTTCCTGGCTCCAGGAGAAACCATCACAGCGGAGAACTGTGGAGAAATCGAAAAAAATGCACCAATATGACAACGCCCGACGCATGTTTCATTGATGACAACAAAAAAAACTGATGGAGTTGGGATATGAAACTCTCGACCATGCTCCATACTCACCAGACCTTTCACCCTACGGATTATCACTTTTTCCAAGCATCTCGAAATTTTCTTACGCGAGAAATGCTTCTGATACCAAGACGACCTAGAAAAGGCATTCAACGATTCCGTCGATTCCAGAAGTCCAGAATTTTGTGCTGCCAGAATATCCAAACTGCCTTCTCGTTGGCACAAAAGTGGATCCTTGGTCGTTATTTTGATTGAAAAGCAACACTTTGAAGCGAGTCATGATATTTGAAATATTTGCTTCAAAACGGTCATTATTTTTGCCACGACCTAATACAATAAAATGAGGTTTCCAAACGCCTACTCTCTTGACCATCATCAATTTTTCGAGCGTAGCTCTGGCAGCGGTTGCAGCAGGGATTTCAGTCTTGCGGGCATGCTCGACAACGGTCCAGCCTCTGTGATCAGATATTCAACGCTTGACTTGATCCATCCGATTTTTGGTGTAGGATGAATATCATAAGCCCTCCTCGGCCACTTCTTTTTTCGGTATTGACGACCTGATACTTTCTTGCCCCTAAACATGCTTTTCACCATTTTCATGCCCAGAAACCATTAACCGCTCATTTTCTGACATGTCTGTACTTCCTTCCGCTCCTGTGCGTTGCTTACCACTCGTCAGCAATCCTCAGACAAATTCATTATATTGAGTGTCGACGGCACTTGTCCATGCGCTCCTTTCGCCACAGTCCCTCTGCGGCGACATCTTAAACGCTGCTTGCGCGCTGCTGGAGAAATTTTCTGTGAAGTTTACAACTTCCGCGATTGCGAAGGCTGCCTTAATCACTGAAGGGCTTCTTCTGAGCAAACCGCGAATTAGGTCTTGAGCGATAAATTTCGTGCCGATGTTTTATCGAAGACTTCAATGTTTCACATATTTAGTGCTGATTGGTCCATGGTCCCTGGTGAGATCAAAGTTTCTGATCCTCAATCTTCCTACGTCTTTGCACCATTTGATGCCCTTGGCTCTTCTACTGTCACATCGCACTCATCCACACCTGTACCAACGGTTGCACATGTGAGTTTTTGATTTTGAGAACATAATGCCCTTCATATGCTTGACATGGTAAGTAACTTGAACTACAGCTTTACATTTTGTAGCACACCTGCAAAGGCTTTTTATTTTGTCTGCAAACCATTTTTAACTCATTGTCTCTAAATAATGTTGGAGGACAATGGAGAGCGAGTTTGTGAGGAGAGCCTAGCTATGTGCAAGTCTTTTATTTTAGCGAAATTGATGTTTGCCGTAGATTCAGGAAGATGGGGTGGAGTCGTTCATTGAGGAAGCGCGGTAACAGTAAGAACAAAATTCCATCTTAGTCGACATCCATTCTTCTGTACACAGTGATGTCATGTCACAGTTTCAGGTCATCTCATTCAGAAATATACTCTCAACAAAAAAGTGGCAGATCAACCGAAATGGTGACAGAAGGAAACGATAAGAAACTGGAGAGAGCCATTTATCAAAAGCCAAAAGATCATTGCTAGATTTTTGGATCAGGCATCATGTGTGCAGAGTTGGATACCCAAATTTACCAGTGCTGACCAACAGCTGCGTGTAATGGTGTTCTCGGCATACGATGTGGAATAATGGATTCGAAGGTTCAAGGAAACAGGAACAGGCACTGGTGGTATTTGAAGAGGAGTTCACAGTGTCCAGTGGGCATAAGCAGACGGACTAAACCAAGTTTTGAATGCTGGATCGCAGATACTGGACCATTATCGAACTTGCTCCCGCGGGTGGAACTGCCTGTTCAGAACGGAATGCAATCTGACTAACGCGGCCCTGGAGTGCTGCAGACCTCTCTGAACGAAGTCGTGGAGGTTTTTATTGCGAGCGCATTGCGTTTTGCGTGGTTTTGAAGCGGACGGTACTTGTCGCCGCGCATCGGTAGCTCTGTAGTAATGAGGTCGAGGGTTCATGAATGGAGGGTTGGGAGCTCGAATCACTAACGCGTTTGCTCGGCTGTGATTTTTCGAAGATCCTCTGTGCACTGCAGGAACCATCTGCCTAATTGAAATGTTTCTAACGCTATGTATTAGTGATTTGCAGACATGTACATGAACTGACATTACAAGACATTTTGTTTTGCCGAACACATTTTCAGCTGCTGGTTTCTTCTTTCTCGCTTCTGAATACATTTGCGTTATAGAAAGCTGACACAAGGGTGAATCGGTGCAGATTGGTGCATAGAGAAAGAATCTCTTTGAACATGTAAACATTTTCATTCCTCAAGGGAATAGTTGCAGTTAAGAATGGTGTTACAGTAGAGAGACAGGGGAATGCAGAGTCGTAGCGCACATACCGAGCTTTTTCGTGTCAAACCGGTGCGATATCGTGCTCCGAATATCGAGTTACCCCAGAGGTGATTTTCTGTCGAATCGAGAGCCATAATGCCATGTGGTTCACCTTCGGCACCGCATACGTTCCTCTCTCATAGGACTGCACATTGGACTATTTGGTGACTTGTTGGCAAATTCGACATTATTGCTTGACGCGAGTGCCACATTTTTGTCGAAACACCAAATGCTCGTCCTCCAAGTAGGAGTTCCCAGTGTTTCTCGAAGTTTCGAATTTTGGCTGAGAAAATTTCAGCCACGTTAGCCACATTCTCAATGTAAAGGTCAGGCTCTCTTGATTCAGCTCAAATTCGTCTTACGGGTAGTCAACGCGTTGGACTACCACGCTTGTTTCGAACCAGGGCCTAGTGCCTATGTTCTCTGAAACACCCTGCCTCTTTACAGTAACAACCACACTTACTTGCAGCCAGCGCATACCTTTGTTGTGGGAATCACAATGATGACTTCCTATTAGGTTGCTCGAAAAGTCCTGCGACACTTTGATTGAATTGTTCTAGAAAAAGAGCAAAAATCATTTTGGATGTTTTTATCCCTGATTAGTGGAGAATGTCCCCTGGGGTTTCTGCACATGGGTATATCATGACTTTGTGGGAGTTTTCAAAGCTTAAAAGTCCCAGAGATCGAGGTACTTTTCCACCTATCCCATGTTATGAGTTGCTGTAGGGCCACTCCGTCGTAGTCGAGGAAGCTAACACTTACGTTGTCTTGAGGAAGGATATCGCTTGCCATGGCAGAGGGTAGCTTTTGCATCAGTGCTTCCAGGCTGGACTTATTTAACTCGTAGTTAGGAAATGTATAGGTCGCCTGCCAGCACATCGCCTGCCAGCACAGAGTGACGGTCCTTTACTCAAACTTCTTTAGGCGCAGCCGAACGCAACCACCAGTAAGTTGGCAACCTCTCTAGGCTCCGCCTGACTGACAACTGCCATGCTTCTCCGCAATCTCGGTTATCGGAAAATTTTTTTGTGAAGGATGCCTCATGAATTGGACCCGTCTGACAAGTCATACCGAATGACCGTGACTGAGTTTTCTTTTCCTTGTACACAGCGAAAGAACTTTTGTGAGATCTTGTGGTTGGTAGCGAGTGGTGGTGTTCTTGCGTACATCATGCATATGTCCCTCACAGGATCTCTCAAACAGAAAAGTAGATTGCTCAGCCAAAATCAGATGTGCATGGGATTAAGATTTTAGTGTGTTATTGGTGGGACTTCAAAGCGATATCACTGGATACTAGCACCATTGTAAGGACCACAGTCCACCTTAATCGACTTCAAAATACGGATGACGTCACGCTTGAATTCATTCAGAAATACTCAATTTTTCTCTACTACTCGGCAATGCGAAGACCGCATGTGGGGATCAGGCTACGCCAAAAGATCATGCATTTCGATCAGAGAATGCGACCGTACTCAGGTTATTTAACAAAGTTAGCAGCCTCTAATTACCACCTCCTTTGGTCCCTATGGCATCCTTTAAATTGCAAAAATTCCGAAAATCGACCTCAACTCGAGAATGGTCCACCTCTTCTTTTTATCATAGTTGCCGTATTTCTATGAGAATGTAAATGAGAAGCTGTGCAAAAGAAGGGCACTAGTCCCAGTCATCAACTGCGGCTACCTTGTAGATTGGAGATGTCTTTTAGTGACAGAAAATGTAGTCCGAAAAATTTGGTCAAATTGTCGCAGGACTTTCCGAACAACCTAATACATATTTGACTGCGAGGGAAGGGGCTGGGTCGAAAGCGCAGGGCTCATCCATGGAATGGGGAATGGAAGAGCTGCGAGTCAGACGTTGTGCAGTCATTAAATGACGAAGGATTCATTCACGGTTGTTTTAATGAAGAACAGCTGAACAGACACTAGAGGACATAGGCAGCCCACAAGCTCAGAAGTGAGGAACGGGGCGATGGCATGGACGATGGCCGCCCACAGCGGCGTCGGGAACTGATAAACAAATGAAACACACTATGTGATCGGACATTTCTAAACCGTAGTAGCACATCTGCTTATACGGAAGGGCTGTAGCTAGGTGTCATACCTTTGCAACCCTCTGCATGGGAGACGGATGTATGGTGCAATACACAGGTGGTCTCGATTGACGCCGAATAAACTATTTTCTCAAATTATGCAAGAAAGGGGAGGTGCTTTCTGAGGAAGGACGGTCGTATAGATTCCGGCACTGTTTTGGTTTTACTCACCTCACCTGTATCGACCGTTACTCATCGAGTTTCTCGAGCGGGCGCCAGTAGCGTCTCCATTCGTCCCTACCACGTGCAAGAGTTGCCCAATGGATTCTCTGCTCGAGGGACACGATGAACATTATACCATTCGTTCAGAGCTTTCACGAAGAAGTCTGAGCATCGCCTAAGCGGTCGCTCAGTTGTTCGCGACATCCAGTGTAATCCAGCCGGTAATCCAGCGGTCGTCCTCGAAACGCATGACTGCCCGGCCCACCTGATCTTCGAAACCTGGCAAATGCGGCGGCGTCTCTGATCTTTGATCGTCGGCGGAGTGCGGAGCTCCGGATTCCCTCTCTCACTTGCAATTCACTTGTGGCGTAAAATTCCGAGCATCGCCCTTTCCATGGCGTGTTGAATAACGCTAACTGCATGCCCATCCTGCTTTCGTAGAGTCCAAGTCTCTGAGGCATAAGTCAAAGCAGGAAGGGCCGGGAATCGAAGAGGTAGGCACGTGTTCTTTATCTTCCTTGCCACTCCCTCGATGCTCTTGAAGAATACTCAAGCCGCTCGCTTCCTCCTGCTCAGCTCTGGTGCTAACTCGTCCATCATATTGGTTTCACGACCCAGGTACACTTAGCTAGAGCATTCAGAGATGGTCGTTCCGTTGAGCGTGAATGGGGCATCAGAAAACAATCCGTCCTCATTAACATTGTCTTCGTTAGATTCAGCCGTGGACCGATTTTTCCACACGCGCAATCTAAATCAGCCAGCATTCGTTCCGCTTGTTCAGTGTCAAAACGATGTCGTCAGCAAAGCGGAGATGGTGTAGTTGCCGCCTGTCGATCTTCACTCCCGTGTTTTCCCATTCCAGTTGACGCATGGTTCTCGAGAGAGGCGCTGAAGAGCTTGGACGAGATGGTGTCGCCTTGCCGGACCCCTCTCTTTACGTCGATGATGATCTCCTTGTAGAATGATGAGATCTTGTCGTGAATTTACTGTACAGCTCACGAGGAATCCTGATGTACTGAGTAGGAACACCCTGGTTGCGAACCGAAATCTTCAAGTCGATGATCGTGAGACATAACGGCAATTTGTACTCCTGCGATACTTCGTTGAGCTTCGTTACCGTGTGGATGTGATCGATCATGCTGAAACCTCTCCGAAACCCTGCTTGCTCGTATGGCTGTCCTTCGTTTAGTGTTCTGCCCATCCTGTTCGGGGTGACTCGTGTGAAGAATTTGTAGACTACAGGCAGCAGGCAGATTGGGCGATAATTACCAATGTCGTACAGGTCCCCTTCTTGTACACACAGTCTTGCTGGTTTTCAACGAGGTGGGTACCTTGCATTTCGACAGGTAGCGCGCGAAAGTCGTGCCAGAGTTTTGACAAGAATTGGCGGTAGATTCTTCAGATTTTCACGTCTGATCCTGTCGGAACCGGGTGCCGTACGATTCCTCTTCAATTTGGTTTCCCTATAG